TCTCCGACTCAGAAATTGTGTCAAATGTTTCATTTTCATTAAGAAAAAAATGATTTCTGAAAAATCTGTTAAAAGAAATTTAAAAGACAGCACACACACACACACACACACACACACACAAGAACATATATAATGACAAACTTCTTAGATAGAAAAGTCATTTAGATAGAAATAATATTGCTCGTATAAACGTTCACGAATCAATGGCACTTTTTACTTTTCGTTCTCCGTTGTCAGTTGTCGACATTATTCCTCGAAGGTGTCAAAAAAGCGTTGCACGGAGTGATTGATTAATAATAACCACTAGGTAGCTGTAGTTGGCGCACAAAACGAAATGTTTTCAGTTTGTGAAGTCGAACATAACGGCTTCTTCATATCGCGAATTAAATCGCGGACGAACACACGAGCTGTTCCATATCGACTAACGACGACGGGCGCGTTTCCTCTCCCGGTATCCTGGCGTTTGCGATATAAAAAGAGTTATCATGGTATAGCGTAAGCGAATCTGCTTGCGAACGTGGTCAAACCGTACACAGAGAGGTGACTAATTCTGGTTATCGAGGAAACAATTACGGCCGTAAGACCGATAAGCGCCATGATTATCATGTTACTATATAATGAGTAATATAAATCATCGCTCTCGTGGTCGAGAGGAAGCGGATTTATGCAAAAATAAAATCCAGTCGTGTGTGTTTTTGTCTCGTGACAGATCGATGCGATAAAAATGCTTTATGATCTTTTATGTAAGAAACTGATCGTGCTTCACAAAGACGCCGCGATTCTGATCCTATATATAGTGTGATTCCAAATAAGTATGAGAAATCTCAAGAGATGATTCTTTGTTGAAAATTAAGGGGGATCTGTCATATAAATATATACTCCTATATCTCTTCTTGAGGAATTATATTCCCCCAAAGAGGAAAATGAAAATTAGTTTTTCTCTTAAATTTTGATAAAAAAATTAAATTTGATAGACATTTTCCTAACTAATTAAAAGGATTACTTATTAATATCTTTTCAATCCTTTCGTAAGAGGATGAAACTAGCAACCCCTATTCAATTTTTTATTACAGGATTTTTAACAAGTCGGAAATGTGATTATCTAAAAATATGCATGAAAACTTGATTCCTTTAGAAATTGTTTTACTTGATTTTTTTTGTTTTAAAATCAATAATTTTTAAATAAAAAAATAAAATATATTATCCTGCACAGCACAGTGCTAGTTTTTTATCTCTTTATAACATACAGGAGGATTAAAAAAATAATAAGTATTTCTTTTTTTTAGAAAAATGTTCATCAAATTTAATTTTCCTACTTGTCCAAAATTTAAGAAAAAAAATAAAAACCTAATTTTCGTGTCCTTCTTTGGAAGAGTATAACTTCTCAGAAAGGGATATAAGAATATGTTTGGAGACCTCCCGTTAATTTTCGAGAAAGAATCAACCAAGATTTTTCTCACTTATTTAAAATCACTCGATATAAACTCCGAAATAAATAGAAATAAAATGAAAAATTAGGGGGGGGGCGAAGTAATTAATCAATAATAATCACAATAGCAATATTAAGCAAATATTAAACGCTCTTAATATTGTGATTTGTCGAGCCAGTTTTACGTAGGTCGCAAAGTGCTAATTATATTGACGCCGTGAGCAGCACAAAGTGGTACAAAGTGGAATAATTTTTATAAAGAAGATGTTACGAAAGATGTTAGGAGCAATGATAAGAGAAAGAAACGAAGAGTTTACCTTGAACTTGTCAATTAGTATCTGGTTGATGAGCTCGGACTGGGGCCGCGATTTATCGGCGACTCGTCTACGAAGGGCCGGAGGGCTGTCGGTGTCGTCGGGAACGTCATCGGTATCATGAGACTCGGAGCTGTCGCCACCCCCTATCACTCCGCCGCCACTGCCCCCAGTCAACGCTCCACCAGATACCATCTACGTCATTCGTGCAAAAATCGTTTGCGATATTTACTTGCTTCATGTGTCAGCTCTTTTTCGTCGACTCAAGCGATACGAATGTCTCAAGAACGTCGTCTAAATCGTTCCGGAAAACGTTCAAAAGGACGTTTGAAAGATTGAGACGCC